TAAGAACAAAAATGTTTTGCACATAGTGGCACAGCAGTATGTCTGTGGACTTACAATGCTAAAGACAGGGTTTCGATACGCGTGGTAGGCAGAGCACAAATAGCCCCTTGTGTAATTCTGTGCTTAACTACAAAACAAATTATCTTTTTTTGAGAGGGGAATTTTCCGAAAACAGCAGAATTTCCTTGGTCGACAAACCGAAAGTAATATTTCGAAGATAGGAGTATGAACAGAAAAAATGCATAAAGAGAGGAATGTGTTTCAATATATATTTATTGTTGTTTAATTTATATGTATATATATATATATATCATGTTAGTATTATACACATGTGTGATTTTATTGCACCATGTTGAACAAATTGATTTAAGTGGAATTGAATATTTCCCCTTTGACACTTGTTATAGAAATGACAACTGTGAAAAAGCACTCACTTCGGTAGCAGTCTTTTCTTGCACCCAGTAAATGACAAGGATCGGTGACAACCAACGGAAAAAAAATCCCCATGGCTACGTAGCAAACCTGAGCACACTATTATGTTGGATACATCCATTGAATCGAACCCCAAATATTTCTGCCAACAATGTATTGCCGTCAGTCTCCTTTGCTTAAAAACAAATGCAATACAATTTGCCTTGTTGATATGACAAAAGACGGCTGCAAATGGTCTGTCTGGAAAAGCGTCACAAGTAATGTGTACACAAGTTATTTCCATAGCATATCTACTCAAACAGATGTAGAATGAAATGTGTTTCATGCTGTTCTGTATGAAACTGCAAGACACAGTGCCTATATCGTATTCTGTGGGATCAGACTGTTGAAATTGGCACAGGAAAACTGTCGTCTTCGTACACTAGATGGCTTATAGAAAGCACACAAGTAGGAGTGGCGTGTTTTGGACATGATAATCTTACGACGAAGCCTATTGCAATGGAAACTATTCTATTATTATGGACATTCAACAAATGGACAAGATGCACGGTCGTCAGATAGGGTAAGACCAGAAATAGCGACATGGGCTATAACAATGTGGCGAGGCTCCAAAGTCATTTTAATATGTACCTTTAAATCTCAGGTGAAGGTAAAAGTTACGAGGTAAAACAAATTTCGAAATCACATGTTTACAAGACTGAATCAAGCTAAAAAACTGGTTTATGTTAATTTGAGCACTTATAATGTAAGAACACCTAAAAACTAGTGAAGTAAAAAGAAAACATGATACATATATAATTACACCAAGATTACTACATACATGGGCACTGAGCAATATATATTTATATTAAAATATTTACAGGTTTACCTGGAGCTGTCAAAGTTATTACTTAAACAATGATGAGGTGTATTCAAGGGTGGCTGATAAGCATTATCCTTCTTAAACATCTGACAGATAACATTATTTGCTTTGAACAGATAAATATAGCTTTCAAAGATCTTCTTTTATCTGCTTAATCTCCTATGCAATTTCAGAATTCACCTTTTTTATGTCATAGCCTCTCCTTGATCCTTTATTTGTAGCAAGGTCCAACCTCCCATTCATCTTGCAGTCCGTAGTTAACAATTGTGTTTCCGTCAAATCTTTTTTTTTATCATAAGATTAACTGTGATATACACTGGTTACTCCAGTACCATTACAATAGTAGTCCTAGTAGTCTTGAGGTTAGCTGAGATGCATGTTGAAGTTCTAATATTGCAGTTACTTTCTGGGTGTATCTCTTCTTCAGTGTTAAGGACAAATATTTCTGTTGTTTCAAGTTCAGAAAGGTCTTTTTCTGGCGTAAAATCTGATGATTCTACTCAAGTATACGTAAAGATTGTTTTTCATCATTACTATCGTTCTGCAAATAGGACCTAACATGGCCCAGTGGTTAGCATGCTTGATGTACTGAAAAGGATGATAGTCGTGATAGTCGAATCTCGCTGGTTGTTCAGATAGTAGCAGCCCAACAGTTGGTGGTGGGCGCTGTCGACTGGCTGCTTTCTCTCTGGTCAATCAGTTCAAAAATAAGGATGGCTAACACATATAGCCCTTGAAACAAACACGAGAAAGTTAATGGTTTGATGTCATAGCTGCAATAGCGTCTTTTGCAATATATTACAATGTCCTTATTATGGACATTCAACAAATGGACAAATTTTCCTCATCTGGCGAGATGATTCATCTGCATTACATATCTGCCATAGAAAACAATGTTGTAGAACAAAAGTGTACTCTTGCAATGTTGTAGAACAAAACTGTACTCTTGCAATGCTGTAATCCGAAATGTGATAATTGCATGAAGTTTATAGTCACTTCAAAGCTGCATGTTTCACTCTAATTGTGAATTCCATTTCACACAAGTAGTGGAAGTAGTACTTTACAAATACCACAGCCATAAGTAATTATTTTTTATAGTGATATTGTTTGGAGTGGTCAACATATGGTTCGCATACATGATATTTTGCTCCATACATCCCTGCACTGGAAACAACACTCCTCCGACCTCACTGTCATTTACACCTGTCTATAAGATAAATGAACAACCCAGCATACAATAATTAAACACTACCATTGGTAACTAAAACAAATTTACTAACTGAAATACTTGGTTACATACTTAAATCGACCAGCTTTATTCAGTGCAAAAGCTGATGTGGCCATCTTGGAGATCTGGTTCCAAAACATTAATATTATTTCCAAGTAAAAAAAAAAAAAAATTTAAACTTGGCACCTTACAAGAGTTGTTTTTTTTTTGTTTTTGAATTTCGCGCAAAGCTACACGAGGGATATCTGCGCTAGCCGTCCCTAATTTAGCAGTGTAAGACTAGAGGGAAGGCAGCTAGCCATCACCACCCACCGCCAAATCTTGGGCTACTCTTTTACCAACGAATAGTGGGATTGACCGTCACATTATAACGCCCCCACGGCTGAAAGGGCGAGCATGTTTGGTGGGAAGAGGATTCGAACCCGCGACCCTCAGATTGCGAGTCGAGCGCCTTATCCACCTGGCCATGCCGGGCCCTTACAAGAGTACAGGGGAGAAACAGGAAAGTGCGACAAACGTAAACTTTGTTCATGGTGCTAACATTGTTCTAAATAACTTAGTCTGTGATATGTTGAAATATAACTTAAAATGACAGGTAAATTATTACCACGATTCATACAGATTTGTTAAACAGTGTCATTATTATAAATGTCTTAATCAAAATATAAAAATATTTTACTATTGCAAACTGCAAATAAAACCATGAAGAATAAGTAAATAAATATGACATATAATCAGCAGCAAGAAAATCATAAATTACTTATACTTTTCTTTCTCTAGGATAACTATTCTAGACTACGAGACTCGGATATAATAGAACAAAACAATGAAGAGCATAGTTCTGAAATTACCAAATTTGCTTAGAGTTATATTATAATTTACTTGCTATGACTCCCAGAGTTCCTTGACATCAACTTTGGTTGTCCAGTCTGACAAAGACGAAACTGTGTTTTCTCACGTGATTACGAAAGGCAGTAATAGGATTTTCAAACTCAGTAACAATATGTGAAGATAAACATGTCCTTCAACTAGTGCCTGTAAAAGCTTCTGAGGTCCTATTTAATAGAGATCAGGATGGGCCAAATCTGTTCAACCTAGGACCTGTAGCTAAGTACAGAACTGGTACAAAAATTTGAAAATTACCTTTGATCAACAGATAACCATGTTAAGTTATGGAAGAATGTTCAGTTTATGATGACTGCTTATCACACACACTGTTATATATTTAGTCCACAAAGGTTAAGAACATTGGCGATCTTAAGTGGCATAACTAAATACTTTGAGCTAACTTGTTAGAATTAATTATTTTCGTTTTAATAAATGTCTTTGTAACTTTTGTATGACGAAGTATTAATATTATTTTTTCTCAACATTTTTAAGTTTTCTTCAAGTCGAAAGACATAAATTGGTGCCTGAAGCCATATTTATCTTCCAGGACCACTACCAGCTATACACTCTTTCAGCAATTAAATTAGTAATGTAAGTTACTCGGAGTTATTATGACCAGTAATGTTGCTAAAGTGCTTAACAACATTTCATAAAGATTTTGAAATTTTCGTTATTTATTTCGTTATATAAAAGGTATGTGGTTGAGAACGATCGTTTGTTTGTTTATTCACCTGAATGACATATCATACACACACTAGGTTAAACGGTCAGGTCAAAATCCCAGTATTTCAAATATAACCGTTCCTAATTTCGAATTGCTGCCCAGAAGGAAGACATCCAGTCAGCAGTACCCGACATCCGAAGCGGCTACTCTTAACCGAATATACTGGGATTGACTGTTATCTTTGTAACACACCCCAAACTTTACGTGTGAAGCGTATTTGGTAGCATCGTTTCTTGAACCCGAGACCCTCAGATCCCAATCCAATATACTAAACATTAGGCTATGCATGGATCCTATTACGTTGAAACATAATTAAACTGTTAGGAAAAGATAGTATGCTCTTGACACTTCTGGCTTACTTATATAGCCCAAAGTTTTCTTTTAGAGATTATCCCACACATCTCGGATATCTAAACAAAATGCTATTACACAACAGTATTCAGAAGCAATTGTCCCTATAGTTTTTATAAAAATTAAACAATTTATCTACGAATTTTCCTATTTAACTATTATTTATTTTGAAACTGCTAGGAACAACAAATAATGTTATTAAATATGTACATTTATTTGTATAAGGGGATTGTCTTGTCAGAATACTTTGTAAAGGTTACAAATGATGAAGATTGCTTTGCTAAATAATTAATCACACACACACGAAAGATTTTTCAAAATAAAATATCATTAACCTTTAAGATTACAACATGTATATTTAAAGAGGCATATTCATATGAAATGATGATTCATTTCAGTTGGAGTTTTCAACTTTATCACAAACGGTAAATATGTTTGTCGTTTTTACATATGGATATTATTCCACCAATCATATGACTACGGAAGCAGATCACTCATGCGCATACGAGCTTAGTCAATGTATGTTATGATAAAAAAAAGAGGGTGTCACATCAAGTTTACGTAAAGCTTATTAAGCCTAACTATTGTAACTGAACTACATTTATAAATGTAGGACTATATGTACTTTTTGTAAAATATAATAATAGTTGTCAAACAATATGGCAGGGAACGAGGGGATGGAAAATTTGATTCCGCTGATTAACAAACTTCAAGATGCTTTTACACACTTAGGTGTTAATTTGTCACTCGATTTACCTCAGATTGCAGTAGTGGGTGGTCAAAGCGCAGGAAAAAGCAGTGTACTTGAAAATTTTGTTGGAAGGTGAGATTCTTTACAATCATACCCTGAGTCAGAGCTTTTAGTAACAGTTTTTAACACTAGAATTTTGGAAAGTCAAGGTTTTTGAATAATTATGTATTTGTCATTTTTGTATTGGTTCTCGTTTCCATTTATAAAATGTATGATGAATGTATTGTGTGAATAATATTTTATCTTTTGAATTATAATACTAGTAGCCATGTTCGAAGTATCGGTTGATGATATTATCCAACCTTTTTTGTTTTTCTGTTTACATTGGAGACTAGTAATAATTTGTAATGTAAACTACAATGGCAGAACACAAAATTTGATACCTTTTATGGTCAAGAATCGGATTTATCTTGTCACTATTAATTTATACACGATGATTGGGATCAAAATATAACTCTAACTATAAGCTTTACACACCCAATGGTTCATGAATACTGTTGGCAGAAAAACTCTTAGAAGTTGTTGTTGTGCTAGTTGATTATCTCAAAGTTCGAGTGAACCTGACTAGTGTAACTGTAACTCTCATGCATATAATAGAAGACCTGTCAGAAACAGGCAACCATTTAGCTTAATGATAATGATACAGTAGAAATGAAGAAGTTAGTGCAAGTAGCTGAATATCATGCACACTTTGTGCCAGGCTTTAAGTCAAGCAGTTTGAAAGATTATGTGAAATATTTAGGTTAGCCATACTTGCATAGTTGGAAAGTTAAACATCCCATATGGCAATCTGTTGCTTGTCTTCCCATGTCTAGGGGAAATTATGTTTTACCAGAACACACTGTACAAGCAATCAGATAACCTGTTACTCTTTGAATGATTGGCAATCCCTGGTTATCCTGGTCCCATTTAATAATGTTATAAAATTACCAATGACACAACTGCACACATACTAACAAGCTATTCCTGAATGCCTTCTTCACACAATTACCGTTAACACAACTGCATCACACACAGACACCAAAAAGGCAAAGTCCATGACTGCATTTCGCTGCTATGGAATTGATGCAATTGATCGAGCGAATCGCTTTAGAAAAATTGCGAGTCAAAGTTAAAATCTATGTCAGACACCAGTAATGCTCTATTGCCGTCTTACCTTGACGAGTTTCTGTGGTGCCAATACCACAGTATATGACAAGTGTTGAATGTGATTCGACATTTAGTGGTGAAAATCAAGTCAGGTGCTCTCTCAATAGTGTGTTGACATTTTAATGAAAATTGACATGGTAGGGTCAATAATTTGACCCTACTTCTACTGTTGAACTGTAGCAATAGAAGTAGAAAAGGCTCTCTGGCAGGCCATTCCTACAGGCTAAAGTAAAAAAGATTGAATAGATTTAAGCAAGCAGTATTCAGAAAAGCAGAACTGCATTTTTATTTTATTTAAAATCACTAGTAATGTAGCATCCAATTAAGGAACTTAAATTTTTAGGCTTCCAAAAAGGCAAAAAAATAACTGTAATATGTCATTGAAACTTAAAAAAAAGAAGTCATATTTTGCTTGACTCAGTCTGCAGTATTAGAATTAGCATTAAAAATACATATGTTCTGTTTCAGTTTTATTTGCTTCACAGACATATTGCTTGTAGTCAGTGAAGATAATAATAATCAATGTTGTCTTAGTTTTTATCACAAGACAAAGTTGTTTTACTGTAGTTCTAAGCTATAATAATTCTGCATACTCCATTAGTTAGTATTAAAGTATGTATAGTACATCTTGAAGACCATGTTGCATTTTACTTACATGGTTTCAGAGTTAGAGAGAAAATTACTCGGTCCCAAATCTTCATATGGAACACTGCCACCAATGATTACATCTCATCTTGGAAACATGTGACTACTGCTCTGTTCCTCTGTAAACACATTTTTAGGCAGTACATTACGTTATTACATGCAATATATCTATTCACCTTAATCCTTATAACTTAACCTAAAATATGAAATATGTTTATATCTCCAATCTGTTTTTGAGACAACAGATCTGGTCATATATGAGGCTTCAAATAATTTAATTAATCCTTAACTTTATAAAACAGGTTGTGTTTTAGTCTTTAAACTACTGACTTGTTTAATACCACTCACCATCACTGTAGTCCATATATTGCACTATACAGAGTAATTTGACCAGTAGTAATTAGTGGGATTAATTGCAATACTGATGATATTTGTTTATTTACATATATGTGACTTTTACATTAGGGTCCATGTAACACAAAGTCATAAACTCGCAAGCAATTTTAGTGCTCTCATTAGTCCATTTAGCTTCTAGGTCAATGTTGGGAAATACTTAATTGTACAAAATAGCTTTATCTTCTGTAATATTATGTTTTATAATTTTTGTTATTGGAACTTTATGAGTATTTACTAACTTCTCTTTAATTCTCTCTAATTGCAGAGATTTTTTGCCTCGAGGCTCGGGTATTGTGACTAGAAGGCCTCTAATATTACAACTAGTGAATGCCAATGTTGGTAAGTCTGACTCATTAAGTTGTGTATATTGTGTTACTATGTTCAGATTGTATCATTTTACCAAAAGCAGTTTGACCTAATTATAAAATTGGGAGCTTAGTAGACTTAAATGGAGGTATTAGTGTAGGTGAATCATATTTTAAAAAGTACCAGACACCATAACTGCTGTATAGAATCTTTTGTTTCTATGATGTACACACAGAAGTTTAAGAGCATCAGGAGAACTAATACCAGTTTATGAAGATAAAGCCAGAAGTATATCACTTTTTTGGTATTGAAAATAACATGACACATGTAAGTTTGTAATAGAAGTGTACATGTATAGTTATAGATAATAGCTGTAATTCCAGACATATGTTATACTGATAGACTTGCACAAAAATCATGCACATCAACTATTAGTCTACACTGATATAAGTTATACTGTTATTCCTCCAATAGTCTGAATATCTAAGTTTAAAAAATATTTATATTCACTTCCAGTAATTCAAATAGTCATTAAGGAGTGTTTTGTTAAAAATCAGGAAAACTACTTTTGTCGTTAAATTATAAAAAGTAATAAAAACTTGCACGAAAATAATCCTCAACCTTATTTCTGTCAATGCAGGATAGTAAATTCATGGTAGTAAGTGCTACTGTATTTTTAAAAATGGTCATGGTGTTCTCTGAAAATTACTAAAATCCACAGCCATGATGGCCACCATGGTTATCATTTTGGCCATTGTGCCCTCATAATCTAAATTCATATTGCATGATACAGTAAAGGGAAAACTATTGGGGATCACAAACACTGGACTTACAACCTACAGAAACTACCTTGTTACGAATAATATATTGCATAAAATTCATGTAGTGGACGGAGTGAAGTTTTCACTTTGATCGGCAGTAAAACATTCCTGCAGTTTGAGTCATACCATACCACAGGCTCGTAGTAGTAGCAAGCAATTTAAATTGGTGCTCAAACAACAAACCGGCAGAGTTTACACAAAAATCTACAGTGACAGCAGTATGTGACAATCAAAGTCAGCACGTACATATGCTCCCCAGAATGAATTGCACGACTGCAAATACTCCTTGCAATAAACATGCCAAAAATGGAATGAGTTATGAAGGAGAATGGTGTGAAACCTTTTTCTGTGGCTGCTAAGAGCCAGAAATTAGAAATTTTTTCATCAGTAAATATGTAGATTACATCCTGATTTTTAGCCATGGCATAGCGACTCGTAGAATGCCTCAGAGTTTTTTTTCAAGTTCAGACCCGTAGCTCATAGCTTTGTCATTTCTTGACCAAATTGAGATATAATTACAGTTTAGGACTTAGGAGGTTAAACTCTTTCAATTGATATATTTCACCATGCCCAAGGTCTCATAAATTTATTTAAAAAGTTTCAACCAAAGGCTTAGGCCTACTACCTTAGCTAGCTATGGTAAATGTTACTGAATTACAAGTAGTAAGTTACAAAGTGTAATATGTGATGACATGTGATTTATAGGTTATTAAATAGAATGTTGACTTTATGTCATGGCAATGTGTCTTTATATTTATCTGTCCATCAAGATTTTCAAAGGGTTTCTGTTCAGAGACCATGTAACTGATTTTTTGTCAATCCTAGTCGTGTAGTCTGACATGTTGGGTTTGAATTTTGTTGGTAGAAATTAGTTCTTTAAACTTCTCCTCCCAGAGATTTTGTCTGATCATTCTCAGAGTTAGACAGGGTAATGAGTGGATAAAGGTGCATGAAAGTTGTATGCAATTCTAAAGTCAAAGGTCATTGGAGTCAAAGGCGTCAGGAAGGGGCAAAAGCTAGAAATTTTATAATGCACCCTTTCTCATTATGTGTAAGCTGATCTTTATCAAGTCTGGATAAATTAGTAAGTGGATAGCAATGCCTGAAATTTATTCATGATTTGTAAGGTCACCAGAGATCAAATCCTGGAAACCCTTAAAATGCTTCTCCTCCCAGGGATATTGTTTGATCCTTCTCAAAGTTAGACAAATTAACAAGTGGAGAGAAGTGCCTAAAAGTTGTGTATGATTTTCAGGTCAGATGTCATTTGGGGTCAGGAGGGGGGAAAAACTTGGAATCTTGTTAAGTTCACAGGGTGTTTTAGATCAGCAAGATGTCTCTTTTTTTTTTCTTTTTTTTGAATCTTAAAGCTGATGTACTGTTGCTTCATAAGTCTCATTAGTTAAAGTTAATACTAACCTACCTGATAAACATAATCTGGAAGGATAGGCCAGCTTCCCAAGCCCACAATGAAAAATATTAATGCCATATTTACTAAATTAGTTGGGAAAGTCATTTCTATTCCATTAACATTAATGTGAACTGTGGCCTTAGCGCCCTCCAGTGAATTTTTTTTTTTTGGCTATGGTTATCTTGAAAATGATAGAAAATCCAAAGCTAAATGGCCTTGCCCCAAAAATGATGAATTTCCTGGCTCGCAATGTTTTATTTGCTTTATCAAGTGTACCACAAATTACAGAACTGAGGAAAACAAAGAATAATGTATGTTTCACAAAGATTTAATTGATAACTATCTTGTTGCTTGTAAAGGCATTGTTATTTGAACTGATATCAAGACAGGATGGCAATTTATTTTCTGCAACTGTTTGTGTTTTGATCTGGCCGAAAATTTGTCATCTTATTGACTTCTGATCACAAAAAATCTTGAAGTCTTGGGTATTACTTTGATCATTTTCTCATTTTTACAATTTTGACAGTCATTTCAGTTTCTGCCCTTACAAATGCTTTAATTCTACACTTTGAAATCTGATCACCATAAATTTTAGGAGCTCTTGGGCATGGCCAAGATTTTCAGGATACTTAGAAGTGCAAGTTAGATGAGATACTGAAAATAGTTACACTAAATTGAAGAAGTTGGCTAGTAGGATTAAATTTCTAAAACTTTATGGCAGTATTCAGTAGACCTGTATGCCAAATAAGATGTACACTATTCCACCATCATGGTAAAACTAATAAAATAAATGTTGCTTGTTGGACTAGGACCTTCGCTAATGTTTATAAACAATCGTTATGAGTGTGTCCTTTCTTGAGTAAAACTAAGTTGTGTTTTCGAAACAGTTTATAATACTATGATGAAAATGGTTTTATACTAATTTCCAATAAAAATGTTTTTCTAACATGAGTATGAGCAAGTTGGTTTATTTATGCAGTTAGTTTCTGGAAAGTGGTCTACAACATTCAATGTTTATGAAATTTCATTTGTGAGTAACTGTCACCACTAGTTGTCTACCTACCTATTGAACTCTTCTGAGAAAACACTAGTAATATTTCATTCCATAGAATGATGTGACTTTTTTTTGTCAACAGTGCAACTTACAGGAATCCTACTGGACAGTATATTGGTTTAAATTTAATATTATGCTGTTTTTAGTACTATAATTATTAATTTCTGCTATCATATTACCTTTGATAAAATCTTCTTTATGTAAGTTTTAATCAGAATGTTAGCTTATAATATTATTTTTTGTAGTTAAGCACAAAGCTACATGATGGGCAGTATGTGCTGGGCCTATCACAGGTATTGTTATAAGCCTTCAGACTTACTGCTGAACCACTGGGGGCAAATTGTAGTAAATTGTGTTCAGAATTTAAGAATGGTATTTTCATATTAATACAAGAATATGGTTTGGTTTTGATGGCTTGTTTCCTCAACTATGGATAAAAGAAAAAATTAATTTGCATCAGGTTATTGAGAAAGGTATTCTATGTTGGTGGAAACATTGATTTTGGAAGGTATATTATCCACACACACTGGTATTAATTTGAGTGTTTTCTACGATGTAATTATCAAGCAACACAAATGACAGTCTGGAATCACAATATAAAGTCCGCTTCCCCCCCCCCACTCCATCAAAATTCTGATACTTGTCTTTGGTTTTG